ATGGAGATGGATTGGTCATACGCTGAGGAAACCATCAAGTGACATCACTAGACATTCCCATTCCCCAAAGGGGAAGCGGCGAGTTGGTCATCAGTGCATCGGTGACTTGGAGGAGGTCATGTGAAGAGGAGATGAAAGCATGTGGGCTGACTTGGAGCGGGGTGAAAATGTTGGCAGAAAACCGAAGGCAATGGAGACGCGCAGCTGAAGCCCTATGTTCCTCTAGAAATTAAAGGATATAATAATAATAATCACTAGTATATCCAAACTGTCGAGTTATAACTCATCAACAACTTGAACCCTATAAGCATTCATGTTTCGATGTTGATCAATTCCATGACCTGTCAATTATTGAGAAACGAAGAAGTTCACTTACTAGAAAAAGAATAAACGTTATGCTTATTTATCTTTATAAATTTTAGGATTCTAACAGTTACTGAATTTTGAGTAGAATAGAATCAGATATTCACCAGGTAATAGCTTCTTATTATATCTTAAGAAAATAACAAAAATTAACTGATTAACTATTTAAATCCTTAGATTTTTGACCTACAATAAACTTTCCTTAATAAGTGATTTTATGAACAACTTAAAATAGGTTATAGACTAATCACTGAATGCCTTTAAAAATTATCAGCATTTTTCCCTAATTGCCACTGTCTTCTCAGAAATTTATAGATTCTGAATCGTGGTCACTATTTCCCGTATCGAGTTACATGTTATTAAAAAAAGTTTAGAAAAAAGCACAGCAGTCGTTCAAAATATCCTTAAATAGCATTCGAAACAGCATTCATAACTATCAGCGACAAACTGGTTTCTCTGAATGTTTCTCACCAAGTCGAAATGATTCCATCTTTGAATTTAAAAATTACATATACAAAGAGATTATGAGATATATTTCCGTTAACCTGAAATGTGCCCCTTTATGGCCATTAGTCGGACTTCGAAATGACACAATTCCCCATGATCGAAGTTCGAGAGATTTACTAGGACCAAATCAATTTGTTCGATGGTCGCTCCAGCATTTGAAAAGTGCAAAAGAGAGTATCTATGGAAGATAAAAATGGTCCCTTTATTTCAAACCTTTACTTCATCTGCTGATAGCTAAATAAAAACCGATTTCTTTTCAGCTGTTACAGACTTCACTCGAAACATTTCTTCTCCTTCATGTCTCCTCATAATTTTCTAGGATAATTCAACTTCTTCATGATCCTTCTAAATAACTCTAAACTCATGAATTCTATTATCTGAACATTATTCCAACACCCTAATGAAGAACCTCTTGGCTATAGTCCATTTGTAACCAAGTGACCAAGAACTGTGACAACTCGATCAATAATCAGCCAATGTTCTTTACCACAGATAGTTTTTTTGAGTGAATCCATCATTCTTGTATTTTATTCTATGATCAATAAAGTTGAACCGGACCTTCGTGTTTACAGTCCATTGTAAACTGAATGTAAGAGTGAGCTATGTAAATCTTTTGGAACAGTATGAAAGCATGACCAACTTTAAAGCAAATAATAGACGTGTCTTCAATATGCTTCCAGTAATGTGTCTTCGGCCTTTCCGTATCTACTTGCACTTATTTAAGATAGACCATATATGAACTCTGTTCCTGACACTGTTTCTCAAAAGGAGTGTAAAAAAAGAAACTCTCAGTGATATATTTAGATTTGAGGGAGCTAGTCACTTCACATTTCGATCAAATAATCTGATTCACCTGCGTCATGCAGAAACTTATATATTGACTTAATATATAGGATTTAATAAACCTGCTGTCAGTTTGTTTGACAGCGTCGTCATTTCCTTCTAAATTCATTTCATGTTAAATGTTATCCGGAGTTATATCTTGTATTTCTTCGGCATTTTATAGATCAGTTATTTCAGTAGAGTAAAAGTAATAGATGAAAGACTCGTTTTCGTCGTAGTCAAGTGCAAACATTTTAGACCAAGTATTCAAGGTATGCTGAAAAAAGGACTGACCTAGCTTGATAATTAAGTTATAAGATAAAGAGGTTCACAAGACCTACAGGTTTCAAGTCATAAATATTACTGCGAAAGTCAGATGGAAGACAATTAAAACAGATATACTAATCAGAAGTTAGAAAGCTTAGTGCAACAACGCATTCCGATGTGCAGATACTTAATAATTTCTCACAACCATATATATATATATATATATATATATATATATATATTTATTCAGAAACAATTGTTTCCCACGACATATTTGATTTATATTCATTTCAGTGATTTAGTAGTAAACCCTTCATTTTTGGTGGTTGTATGTGTTTGCATAATAAAATATTTACCAGCTTTGAAATTGATGTTAGAGCACATTCATGCAATTATCAGTATTTTAATTTACCCTGAAAATTCATCATAACGAAAAAAGAGGAAAGGACAGTTATGCACCCAAACGGAGAGAAATTAGTAATACTGATGAATACTATCAGTGAAAAATGACTTACAAAGTAACATAGTACCATAAATTGAAAGCTTGGAAACCACTAATTACCTATTTCCCTACTAAGCTACCACAATTCAAAATTCATTATCACTTGGCTGTTGACGCCGCTACGCCTACGGCGTTAAAAGCTAACTAACTAGATATCCTGATGCATTTTTAAAAGAGTTAACAGCTTTCCGGTTAAAATGAAATTTCTTTATGTGCTTCACCGTCACAAACGCATCACAGAAATTCCTCTGTAACAAGGGCGATGTGAGTAATCACAGAAGTAATTACTAAAACTAGTTCCAATGTTAACTTAGAATGCAAGCAAGTAAGAATACAGCCACCTGAATCAATTAAAGGCCTGCTGAATTACGAGAAACCTATGTCACAATATGCGGATGTTAGTGAGAAACTTCATATGCTGAGCTTATATACATACATATATATAAACTTTTTTCTGAGTTCGTTGAATACACAAAAAGCATTATATTATGTTGTATTCTATATTTAAGTAAGCTTTGGAAGAAGTAATACTACCAACTGATGACTAATATATTTTCAGTTGTACAACTTTTGTTGAGTTTGCAGATTCCAGGTTACACATTAGATGATGTGACAAATACGTCAACTCTGCCCAAGACTTAGCCAGACTGTAACACAAAAGATAATATGTTCATTGAATTAACGATTATTTGCATCATGTTATCAATATTGTAATCTATGTGGTAAACGAATGGTTCACAAACTACAGAAGTGGAAATTTCCTATATTCTGTCTTCCTTTGTTCTACCAAATGTGAGTCCGTCTCTGAGTTAAACCTGTGCATCCGTGTTTGAAACGTGAAATGCTTGCCAACCAGGCAGTAGGCCCCGGTTTGATTCCCGGTTGGCACACACCAAAATCAAGCCTGGTTTATCAGCCAAAGACTAAGACGTTCAAAAATGGTATTTTGTTCTCGGATTCCTCATCTCTTGTGAATACAATGTCGTTGAAGACGTTGTTTATTAGGTTGTGAGTTTTATCCAAATCGTTTCTTTTGATTATTACAAATGTGTCGTCTACGTAACGTATCCAAATTTTGGGGTTGTTCTTTGGTAAGATTATGTTTTCGAGCCTTTGCATCACCCAAATTTGAATACGTCACGTAGACGACACATTTGTAATAATCAAAAGAAACGATTTGGATAAAACTCACAACTTAATTAACAACGTCTTCAACGGCATCAAATTCACAAGAGATGAGGAATCCGAGAACAAAATCTCATTTCTGGACGTCTTAGTCAAGTAGACAACCATAAGGGAGTGAGAAACTCAAGTTTATAGAAAATCAACTCACACAAACCAAATACTGAATTACAACAGCAGCAATCCAATAACACACAAAAGGAATTGTATCCAAACACTATTCAAGAGAGCCAGGACTCATCGCAGCACTCATACCCTAAGGAAAACTGAAGCAAGATATCTCATGGACTTCTTTCGAAAGAATGGATATCTACGGAATTTCATCAAAAGACATATACCCCCAAGTCAACCTACCAAATCAAAGGCCCCCAAGGAAAGCACAAAGAAAGTCGCCCTACTACATATAAAGGATATCACTGCAAGACTCTTCAAACCTTCAAGAACCGACGTCGCAACAAACCGAAATAATCAACTCACTCAGCTGTATGTCAACCAAAAGACCCAACAACGGAAGAAGACAAAACCAACATCATCTACGAAATAAATTGTAGCAACTGCGAAAACACCACATTGGCCAAAGTGGACGTCCCCTTCGTCTTCATATCCATGATCATAAGCTAGCCGTCAAAAGACATTACATCCACTCCATCATATCACTAGATACAGACAACCACAAACATCAATTCGACCAGGACAACGTTTAAATATCAGACAGAGGAAACACCAAGAGTGCTAGAGAATTTTTAGAAGCCTGGTATTCTAGTGAATCGTCAATCAATAGACACATCGAGATAGACAAAATTTACCAGCTGATAAGAAGGAAATCTCTCACACAGAGGGTTAAAGTTCAAGTCAAGGAAACAATCAGTCCCAATAGAAGTAGCCCAGAGAGTGTGGAAAAATGCAAAAACAACCAATCACGTCCAGGGTCACCAGGAGAGATGACTAATAAACTCGTGGAGAAATCTAAAAGCTCACTTATAATTGAAGTATGAGCTGAAGATGTTGCTTAGTAGGGAAATGAAAGCTTCACGAACAAACTATTCAACTCATAGAACACAACTACATCAAAACATCCACCTGAGCTAAAGATCTTCTTCATCATAGCTAAACTATTAACTTATATTTCCTGTCATTATAGTGCGAACTTCATTAAATTTTGAATAGGAAGGTAGCAACCAGTCGTTAACGGTAATGATACCTCATCAACTTTGAATACTGTAATTTACTAGTCAAGTGAAAATTAATGCGGCAGTTTTCTAACATAGCAAGGATGAAACATGCTAGCATTCTTCTTTTACAAAATCGTGTACTTTATTATTTATCTAGTGACTTGGAAAACAAAATAAATACTTACTTTATAAATTGGATTTCTTACTCTTTCCAAGTATGATAACTCTATCAAAAATTTGTCCTCTTTTGGTTTGACAAAATGAGGTCTGTTATCGTTTTCGTCGTCTATAATCACATGTACTAGTGCACGACCATGTTGTTGAGGTTGACCCTGATCTCCACCTATAATCCAGAATCTATATCCAACATCATCTCGTTTACCAAACCTTTCCAGTAACTTCAAGTTTTCATTGTATAATTTTCTAGAAGATGAGGACGATAATGGTGCAAGTGAGGAACTTAAGGAAAAAGTAGATGGTTTTACCAATGCTGAAGTCTTCAACAACACTTCTCTATCAAGTTTGCTTTTTGCATATATCTTTACGAGGTATAAATTCTTTTGTGTATCAAAATAATTCAAAATCTCAAAAGGTAAATCTAACTTGGACGACATATTAATAAAATGTTCATCTGTGAAAGAAGATTGAGTCAATGGTGCTGAGAAAATAAAATGATCAGTAGTGCGATGTACATGTGATGTGTCCTGGATTGATTCAATTTCAAAATAAACTAATCCATTACTGCCAATATCTCTGTCGGAACAAGTGATACTTCCAATATACTGATCTGGTCTATTATTTTCGTTTATGTGGAATTCATATACTTGTTTCTGAAATTTCGGCTGTTCATCATTATAGTCACGTATACTGATTTGAATGGTGACTGAATTTGATAAAGAAGGAAAACCACAGTCTTGTGCAACAACAACAAATTCAAAACGATCTGATGTTTCACGATCTAAATTTCCGTTCGATCGAATGACTCCAGTTGATTCATCTATACGAAAGTGTTCAGTCATCCTATCATCACCTTTTAAATAATACTTTATCAAGGAGTTATTACCAATGTCGCTATCAGTAGCCACCATTTTTATGATTTCATAATTTGTTTGTCTTCTCAAAGGATCACTATCTTCCATTATAACTAGATGTACCTCACTTGAATTGAATACTGGTTTGTTATCATTAATATCTGCAATTTCAAAATATATTACTTCACTGGATATTAACTGTGGTGTACCATTATCATAGCATTCGACCGTCAAGTTGAAATGACTAGTCTGTTCACGATCAAATGAGACTGTCGCCGAAAGTTTATAAATTACTCCCATTTTTGACCATATATTTCTCTCATCAGAAATACTCTGCCAAACATTATCAAAAGAGACTGTTTCCAAGTTATTCTTTGTAATTATTGATGTTAACTTGAATTGATCAGTGTAGTTTCCTATGAGGGAGCATGTAACTTCACCATTTAAACCATCATCATCGTCAGTCACCGAGATTATTGCGAAATCCAACGGTAGATTACTAGAATGTTCAGGTATCATTATATGTGAACTACCATCAAGTGACTGGAATGTTATTACAGGTGGGTGATCATTAATATCAATAACATTTACAATAAGTTTCGCTGTTGAGTACATATTTGTTTTCATATGTATTGAAGTGAAGGATACTGAAGCTTCACTGTATAGGTGGTGACTACTTTTAGAATTCCATACTGTCTCTTCTTCAGGATTTCGGGCAATTACTGGAATCGTGTACACTGAACACTTTTTGTAATTTAATTTGTGTTTTAAATATAATGAACCACTATTAGGATTGATAAAAAATGTTGTTTTAACTACATCTTGAGCTGTTTTATCTAATTCATAAATGATTTTACTATACACATTACTTGAGTCTGAATCTGTCGCTGAAAATGTGTATAGTGGTAAAGTGATACTGAAATTCTCTGCAATATTAATCTCTGAATAATTTGTTGAAAAAAATGGTTTGTGATCATTTTTATCGTGTATTATTATGTTTAGCTGAAGAAAGCAACTTTGGTTCGCAGCACCGTATTTACTATTTGCCTCAACTATCAGATTATATCCAGTTATTGTTTCATAGTCTAATTTTTCTGTCAAATAAAGACTCAATGAATATGGCTTTATCAATGAACCAGTTGGGGAAATGATTAATTTGAAAGGTAAATTTGATATTTGTGACTGTGAAATCAACTTTTCTTCTCCATTATTTGAATTTCGTGAGTATAACAGTAGTTTACCTGAGCTGATAGTATGGTCTGGATGAGCATCCAAATCAGTCGGCTGATTTAACTGTACGCCAATATGAGCGTCAGGTTTTAGATCCTCAGGTAGATAAATGGTCTGCTCCGAATCCGGCGTGAAAACGCATTTGTTATCATCAATATCATTAACAGTTATGTAGACTCTAATAACTTCAATTATATTAATCGTGCTTCCAATTGTCTTGATTAAACTCACACTGAATGTTAACCGACAGTCATATATTGGCGTAAAATTTTCGAACATTTTTTCTGATTTTTGCCTAATTTGGGAGTTTGTTGGTGATAGGAGGCGATGATAAGTGTTATATTTATATTGACATAATTCTTCTCTGTCAATTCTTTTCAACACATATATACGACCGTCATCTGGGTGAACATAAAATAAATAAGCATGATCTTTACTGATTGGTCGAAATAATAAGCTCTTATGTCTTGCAATAATATGGTTAGGTATATATTTAATCAAAAGTCCTACAAGTGTTCCATTTTCTCGTTCCTCATCCATTTCTAATCGTACAACTACTGTACATTTAACGGTTACAATCAATAATATGAAAACACTGAATAAGCGACACAAAAATAGTGTTGAATACGGAATGATTCTTTTATTATTAATGTTTTCCTTCCTCGTTTTAAATATAATCACTCCATTCAATGGATGCCATGATTTCTGTTGACACCGTTGTGATTGATCATTTTGGTGTTCAACCTTGTCTGGTTCCAAGGTCATTACGGTTAGTCATTTTGACATATGAAGCAGTTAGATGGTAACTCCACCTACAAATTTGTAGATTTCTCTGCTAACGCTATGTACCAATGTATTTATCGTTCTTCAGGAAAATATGTTGAAACAAACATTGAATCTTCAGCAACCGAAATGTTCAACTGGAAAGTCAAATCTGAAATTCATAAAACAGAAAAAAGAAAGGTAAATAACAACTTCTGTGTATATGCGGCTTCCTCTAAGTGGTGACTTTTTGACAATTAGGGTATAACAAATCTAGCATCATGCGTCAGTGGTTCGGCGGTAGAATACTCACCAACTACACCTTACGTGGTCCGGGATTCGATCTCCAGCCGACACTCTCTTAATCCTCTCTAAGCCAGTAGTAAGTGTGTTAATGAGGTAAGGCTGGACGTGAGGCTAGCATACCCACCTCTTAAAAATAAAGCCACTGCTACCGAGACTTCGAAGCTCCAGCCTGCAGCCGGATGTTCCACTCATAACGTGATAGGATGGAAAAAATTAAAAAATATGGCATCACCTCAGGCTAACAAATACTGGCAGAGCATTTCTGCAATAATTTCCGACTGTGTAATCACACATGCAATAGATTTAAATTGAGTATTATTTAACAAGATAATTATCGACGTAGTATTTAAAACACAGGATTTCAGTTAACCAGTCTTACATCTCTGAAGTAGTTTCAGTTATATATATATAAATTCACATCATTAATTTTCTGGAATCGTGCGTTCATTTTACTAGTGCTCGGTAACACCACATGCATGCTAAGATAAAATGTTAATAATAGTTTTGTGATTGAATGAGCACTTTATCTCTATGATGATCAATATTTTCAAATTGATAGTTTTTATTCCACGAATTCTGAATCTCTTTTACGCAGCAGATGAACTGTGTTATAGAACTTACTATGATTTCCCTAAGTAGCTGCGTTTTTTATTAATTTAAGTTATTATACAGTGTGACCTGGTAAGCTACTTGTTTCCATTCTTGTCAGATTTTGATTAGAATACTATCGAAACCATATGAAGCAGTCGTCCGTTTTTGTTATAGGGAAGTTGATTAAGTGAAGTCTCAATCATTACTGACATCCTGCTTAAATCGTTGGACTAGTAGAATTTTCATCCACCAAAATACTTAAACTTTTCTGCTTTTCTGATTGTGTAAGCCATAAAATTATATCATGTGATCACTTCATGAACTGGCGCAAATATTTAGCTGGCTTCCAACTAAGCTCTATGCAGTTCTTGATGGAAATGAAGAAAAAAACTTGCAGAATCGGTTTCCTCTACATATGCAATAACGCTACGTTATGTAAATCCTGTATGAAGAGGAAATATTTGGGAACTAAGTACGCTGAAAATGTCTGTACTGTGAGTTCGCATACTGCTTGAAATGAAGCTTTCTTATTATTAAAGTTCAGTACAAGGCTGCTTGTGGGAATAGTATCGTGACATATCAATATTTTTATTTTTTATTTTTTTATTTTTGATTACAGCTTGATTCCACACCGTATTTTTGGTACAAGTATGGAATTTTCAGCGTGGATATCGGTAGCCCAAAATTCACAGGCCGACCATAGATATCAGGTGTGCGTCGGCGAGGGCTCGAACCCGGGACCATGTGCATGGTCGGCGAGAGTCCTAACCACTGTGCCATCGACGCACATTTCTCATAAGTGAAAAGCCTTTATTGCGAAGAGAATGGCAAAATTCACTATTTACAAGACTCAGAAGGATTTCCTGACGTTAAACAGCATCTAAGTAGTCTTGAATGTAAATCTTATAGCAGCTACCTGGCGTTACCTTCCAGACTGCACACCATCTTACCCGTTAAATAGTCTGAAGACAAACATACTTCACACTTCAAAACTCACTTGAATCACTCAGTGATTTAATATCAACCTTATACAGTTTGCTAAATTTAAAGTGATTCTATTATTTGACATAAACTTATCATAAATGGAGCTCTAATCACGACGATTGTTGATAAAGAAAAATTTAGGAAACCAGTTTCCCCAATACCTACGACTACAAAAAGGGGATTGGGATGTGTCAGATACTTGACGGATGTTATAGTTTCCTCTAACATTCCTAAAGACGACTACAGATGGTACAAACAACAATGAAAGGATGACTGCCTACATACAAAAATGACTTCTTTTCTCTTCTTCGCCCTAAAACGTATGCAAATTTATTATTAGAATAACTAGTACAATGTCTGTGAAGTAAGACAACAGTAACCATGACGTGTTTGTAAGGTAGTTCACGAAATTTGATCGAATCTTTTAATAGTTGTCCACAGTATAATACTGTAGTTATGTTAGCAGACTTGAAACAACCATTGCACCACTTTTAGTTCAACCTTGGTGCATTCATCACTGACTTACAAATCAGAATTATTTTACAAACGTTACGATCTGTTATCAGATAGACATATTCATAGGGAACCAATAACAAAGAACCGCATTCTGACCTCTCACGCTGCCATTTTGAATTTATTTTGCACACCAACACCAAAAAATATTTATTTAAAATATTTTTTATAGTGATGCAATATTAATAACAAGGATGACGCTTCGAACACAAATTATTGCTCATAATTGTATCAATTTAGGCTGTGTTATTTTAAATAAACTTATCTAATACGGAATTCAATTCTGTCACAGAGCCCAAGTTCTACACTTATTTTATAAAAATGTTACTGTTAGCATTATTTATCTTGTAATCTTAAGTAACACTGTTCACACTCTCCTCTCACTTGGTTTTGAAGCCTTTAAATATAATTTATTAACACTTCATGCAGTGGGTATTCTGCATGTATCCATCTTATATGATGGGTATGAATTCGACATACTTCCATCTCAAACTCCAAACTTTCCATTCACCCGATTTTCTTTTCATCTAAGCGAAGTACTGTTCTTTATCAAATTAGAATGTTTATTGCATAAGACCTCTTAAATTACCTAACTTTTGCCTTTCTCATGAATTTACCATTGTACAGCTTAAAGAGGAAGTTATTCATACGAAATTTTTTCATGTAGACCTATAAAAATAAAAAGAGTGATGGAATTAGAAATTAGTACTGCGTAATCTCTCCGTCTCACCAACATAAAATTATTTTGAGTAATTCTTACAAAAGAGCATATTTGTTAGTGTTAAGAGGATCACGTGGAGGAACAGTGAACGACTTAGTTCATCTGCTTTTCTTCTCTATTAAAACAAACGTGTTCACTCTGTGTCAAGCAATATTTCATTATAATTTAACCGCAATCATGCGGAAACTGAATATATAAACCTATCATGAAAAATCTGTCGAAATTATCATCAAAACGGTAAATTAATATTCAGAATATATATAGGTTGAACATCTGATCTGAACAATATAATCAATGAATGCATGAATGTATTTACTTAGGGACCAAAATGACACTCTTGTGAGGTAAGTGGACTTTTGTTGAGGCAACCGCAGTCGTTGCCGCAAATTATATTGGTGTTCACGAGAAGTAAAATCAACTGCAAATAAGTGTTTTCACCTTGCTAGGTATCTACAATAGAGAAGGAAATGGAGGTGGGTCGAACACATACGGGACACACCGTTCAGAAACTTCACGCGTCAGGCGCTCGAATGGGACTTGAATGGGTAACGACGATCTGGACATCCTAGAGTGATTCACAGAATTTCGTTTTTAGAGGCGATGATGGCTTATGGTCACCAGTGGAGTGTGTCAAGGAAAACTGCTGGAAAAAGGATGAAAGAAGTCCTATGTTCCAGTCGAAACCTAAGCTAATAATAATAATGTAATTACGTTTGCGTATTCTCATATGACCTTTTTAGTATTTCGGCAAGATCAGTAACTGAAATTTTCCCTGATCTGTTTCAAAGTCCCACTGAACCCTTGCCACACTTTAACCATATCTGAGTACACATAACTGCTAAATAATGAGGCATACAGTTACATGGTGTCACTCTGTTTTCATTTCCTTAAATTTAATCGAATATTTCACATTTTTACATGGAACTGTCTATATATCCTTCTGTATTCGTTCGGGTAACATTGGTTTTCATTGCTAAGTCAATAATAGGCCACATAGTGTGAGTCGGTGGCACAGTGGTTAGGACTCTCGCCGACCATGCGCATGGTCCGGGATTCGATCCCCTGCCGACGCACACCTGATATGTATGGTCGGCCTGCGAAATTTGGGCTACCGATATCCACGCTGAAAATTCCATACCTGTACCAAAAATACGGTGTAGAATCAAGCTGTAATCAAAAATAAAAGTAAAAAAAAATAAAAATGAAGTAAATAACCATTATAAATTTCACCCATATTAATTCTTTACTTTTTCAAATAGTGTTTTATGTAGCTTGATAGGTCAAACTTACCGGACATAAAAGCTTGTGTCAGTCCATATAACCGTAGGAGAAGCAATGCTACAGAAAGAATAAGAGTTATCCGGCGCAAAATTCACATCCTGTAACTAAATAAAAACACAGGGAATCTTATTACTGTGTTCCCACACAGTAGCTTGTACGGATTATATATATACAAGCTATTAACATTCAACAAACCATTTTTACTGATCAAGAAAAATTGGGTTGTGATGTTCTTCTAGTCAACCATAAGCGGCTAGATTATTCTACAAACACGAAAATATTATTTCATTTCCTCCTCAAGTAGTTACCCACTAATATTCGATTAAAATCCAGGAGTTTCACAGCAGCTTTCTGGCAACTGTGCCTTAAGTTTAAGACCTGCATCAAGTATGTATCTATGATTATTCTTTGGAATAATAGATTTTGATTTCAGCCCTGCTCAGACAGAAGGATATTTTTCGCATAGATCGAAGTGTTCCAAGTGGAAAATAGGGCTTCCATATCTGCGTTTTAGTGGCAGTAGTGTTGTTTTCACGCAGTCTGACTCCCGACTTTTCTTCCTTTCCTGATTTACTACCGGCTATCTAACTAGATGAGGCTTAGAAGTGAGTTGGTTTGGAATTGAACCTCTATCATTTGCTGAAATGTAAAGTGTGTCGGTGAATTGTGGGTGATATAAGAACTATGGACTAGTGGAATAAAATGACCAGGTCATCATGTTAATTTTCTGCATGAGCAGCTGCATATAATATGCAGTTCAAGAAGGCATAGCTGACATTCAGGTGTCACAATACCCAGTAAGGTGTATCTACTAAATGTTACTTATATTATTATTATTATTGCTCCCTTGGGTTCCTAGTGGAACATAGGGCTTCAACTGCACGTCTCCATTTTCTTCTGTCTTCTGCTATACTTTTCGCCTGCATCCATGTTAATCCATATTCTTTCAACTCCTCTTCACACGATCTCCTCCATGTCACCCTTGCACTGACGTCCTACACGCCGCTTCCCTTTCGGGTCCCACTCGAGCAATGGCCTGACGCGCGCGCGATGTCACCCAGCGGTCTCCTCAGCGAGTGTCCGATCCATCTCCACTTTCTCCTGCATATTTATTGGGCGATTGGTTCTTGCTTTGTTTGTTCCCATAATTCCTTGTTGGTGATTCTTTCCGGCCATCTGATCTTCAGTATTGAGCGAAGACAGTTGTTAATAAAGGTCTGCAGCCTTTTTGAAATATACTTTGTGACCCGCCAAGTTTCTGATCCGTATAGAAGAACTGGCTTTACGTTTGTATTGAAAATCCGACTGAATTTTGTTGTTGATGGTGGCTGAGTGGCGAATATTTACAGATTGGTTTCAGGTTGACGAATGTGTTTCTCGCCTTCCCGATTCTCGCTCGATTTGACATCCTCGTCCGTTCCGACTTTCTGTGGTTGAGACAATGCTCCCTAGATAAGTGAATGAAGTAACCTCTTTCTAATCCCTCCCGTTGATGGTGATTGACGTTGGATGTTGTTGTTGTTGTTTGGTTATTTTCATCACCTTCGTCTTGTCTATGTTTACCTGGAGTCCTGTCTTTGCTGCTTCTTCGACCAGTTTGTCGGTTTTCGCTTGTAAGTCTTCGATTTTGTGTGACATCAAACATAAGTCATCCACGTGCAAAATCCAGGTCTTCTAGGTTCTTCACGTCGGTCCAGGATATCCCTGTCTTCTCGTTTCCCACTGTTTGACGCATAATCCAGTCCACCACAATTAGGAATATCATTGGTGATAGTAAGCACCCTTGTCTGACTCCTGTGTTTACTCCAAACGCCTCGTTGAGTTTTCCGTTGTGGATCACTTGGCAGGTGCCGTTGTCGTACAGCTGTTGAATAAGGTTGATGAATATTTGGGGTACGCCTTAGTACTCCAGTAATTTCCAAATTACTCCACGATCAACTCTGTCGAAGGCCTTCTCAAAGTCTATAAAGTTGAGGTAGAGGTTTGATTGCCATTCCATGCTTTGTTCTGTGATGATAATGCGTAGAGTTGCAATTTGGTCAGTACATGATTTGCCTTTCCTGAATCCAGCTTGTTCTGGTCGGAGTTCTGTTTCCAGTGCGTCCTTTAATCTCTCCAGGATGATGCGACTCAGGATTTTACTTGGCGTCGATAGGAGCGGATACTAGCCAGATACTAGCTTGCTAGGCTACTAGCTTACTAGTTTTCTCGCCGGTTCCAAGCCCGGGTAAAGAGGGAGGGTTGGGGCGTGGTGCTAGCAACTCCACCCCTGTAAAACAACCAAATCGCTACAGAAACTTCAATGAATAAATGTTACTTATAACATATCATCAATTAAATATGTTTAAATAATCTTTGGATATTTATCAATGACTTTGTCAGGTGTGAATTGTTCACCTAATCAGAGTCATATGTGCCTCTTCCTTACATATTCGCTCTTATTCAAGAATATATCATATACCCTTAATTCATACGCATGAATGTACTACTGAGATTTATATTACGTGACTGGGAAATAAGGTGTTTAAAAAGGACTTATAAAATAAGTTATATATTGAAAATGTATTAGGATTATTTGCTTTTGTGTTGATTCTGATTCTTTTTCTCCCTCTAAAAAAATTCAAAAAGGAAGACACGTACCACCAAGTACGAAGTGCTTAGAAATTAGCTCTAAATAATTTAACCGGCATAATATTAGTAATTTTCGAAGATGTCCTCTGTAGGTTGTTGAAAAACTCCAAAATACAGTCGTTTGCAACTAAATCCACCTTAAAGGCAATCAGACGTCAAAAATACAATATATAATAATGGATAACAAAATCATTTTGGGATTTAAAACAATTAGTTCCTTTTATAAATTTGGATAGCGTTATTAGAAGACGGAGATTTTCTGAAAAATGTGATGGATTTGCGCTATACATTTCGAACAATCTGATCACACATTTACTTTTCAAGTCAATTTATATGGAAAAGTTGAATGAAACAAACTGACAAAAAAGAATTAAAAATAATTAACACAAACGTTTGATAATCCAATCAAATAAGGATTACCAAGGTAGGTTAAGAGTAATGACAAACTATTTTTGAATACACAAGGGGGGCTTAAGTTTATGCATAACTCAGCGTATTTCTTCTTGAGATTACGAAACAGCTATTATGACGCTAGCATCCTTTCAAACAGAATAAAATCACATGATTCTCATTAATGAAGCACGCATTGTTACATGCTTATATGCATTACGAATTCGCTGGGGCTCGAATCCAGGACCTTCCAGTTACAAGGCAAGCTCGTAGAGCATTCAGCCACTGGGATCTGTCTCTACGGCTTAAGAATTTAAACTTCTACAAATTCGTGATTTTAGCGCGACCACCAGACACTGTTATCAACGGGTATTAGTCCTCACTTTCGACCAAGTGGACCTTTAACGCTCAGGAATTCTCACTTGAACTACAGGTAATTTCATTTTGCAGTCAATCACTAGTGCAAATTATATAAACTTTCAAGCATGGTTTTATAGGGATTTGATGTGTTTCAGGTTTTATCATGAGATAACATCAGTGGGGTCTATCATATTGGGAGTGAAGACAAATCCTCGCCGATAAAACTGGCTGGTGGCCACAAACAATTACAAAATGTTAGGAGTTTGAATTCATGAACCACTGAGTTGGGTCCGGGTGGCTGAATGATCTACAAGCTTGTCTTGTAATCAGAACGTCCTGCACTCGAAACCCAGTGAATGCGTACTAACTAAGAGTCTCAGATTAGGACGAAACAGCCGTACAGTACTTTCAGGTTTTCTAAAAGTTCTCTAGACGATGTTGGCTCATGATGAAATCGCGTAACCAACCATGATTAAATTACTCCGTATATGCTAAGATTTTTTAAAATTTACCTCAATATTACTTTAACAAAGCTGTTACCGCTAAATAAGAATACATCAGTAAAAAGAAAATCGCATTGTTTTCCCGTTCAGTGGAATGTAAAACGAAAACTTTTATAATGAATTCTGCCTTAACTGGTTAGAAATAGTTAATTTAACTGAATGCTATCATACTTTGCAAAATAAGTTTATCAATCATATGACTGTATCTTTGCAAATCAGTCATTTGTAATCGATACTAATGAATAAGACCATCCGATAGAACACGACTGATAGTACTAATCTCTAGTGCAGATATCAGTTGTCATTTGAACTATATTCTGTTAGCCATTTTCTTCTATAATCAGAAAAAATTCCCAATAATGAAAGAGTTCATCATTCATTACACACTAATACTGTTTCATTTTAATTCGATGGATTGATATTCTGCAGTTATCATTCTATCCATACAAAAGTACATATTTTACCTACAAATAAGACAAACGGAGAAATGGCTACAGAGATAAGTAAAAATACTACAGAAATAATTACACAAGTGTGTAAGAAAGATGAACAAAGAGGAAAGGTATGATATTTCAGCATTTTCCATAAGGTGTCTTTCGAAATGAAGTAGAATTTATATTGACTGAGTTGAATAAAATTAATGAACTGATGACACTCGAAGGAAGTGTAAAGTAAAGAACTCTGGTCATCCGAAGATCCACTAACGTAGTGAAAACAAATTATCTGTTTGATGTCTACTGTATCAGGTTAGAATGATAAAATCCGTTCTTTTTTAATATGTCTATAATTAAAAAAGATATAATTGTCCTCCACATATCAGAAAGTCAATCATTAATTATATAAGCCTTCTCGTTTTGAAAACGAGAACTGTGTTTGGTGTTTACTATTAAAATTGTAGGAGATTAAAGCCCAGCTTTCCTTTATACACTTCACCTGACTTTTACTTTCCTGTTTCAAAAAGCTACATAACAAGATTTTGACTTATATATATGTGCATACATGTATATATGCCTAGATCATCTCTTGGCTGTTTTTAAATTTGTACATAATAGATGAAATTGACTGTTACATTGTTCTGCTTTACAGAATACTTTTATTGAAACAAATGTATTCTTTGTATTGTTGTTTCTGAAATAGTCCGTGTTTTTCCAAAAAAGGTGAGCATTATTCGACAGTCATTTTAAAATGGTTCGTTTAATTGTTTTTTACGAAGTTTAGACATACAGCTAACTGTTGAAATGTGAAATTGTGGAAACGTATAACTCTTGTCTTAGTGTTCAGTGTAATGGGATGCAGTTGTGGATTGCAAGGAAGCTACCATTCAGTGCTGTACGATTAGTTTGTCAGAGTCGTATTTCTAAAATTGAAGCAGATGTCATTTACCTCATAAATAGAAATCCGACAGATTCATAACAAAAACCTTGATCATAAAAATAAAGATAAGGGATGCGATATTTCAGCTAAACAATTAAGAATTTGCTCTTTCTTTCTTTATCGAAATTTATCAAGGGAAACGAATGTATGAAATTAAAAAATAAGCCTAAATAGGTGTAAGAGAAACGTGACTTAAATTAAACTTAATCCGGATTACTTACATTTTTCTGTGTAGCTCTATGGCGCAATCCGATTAGATCATTCCCATTAGTAGCTCTGAGTAAAAAATATTTTCCTGTGTTGAAAAAAAATAAAATGCACGAAGGTCTAGTGAAGAAACTCTCCTTGTTGATTTCATGTAAAGATAAATGAGATATGTGAACACTTTGAGACTTCATTGGGATTTTCTATGATGTCACAAAATTCACACTCATGTTAAAACTGCCTTTGTTTCAGATCATCTATAGTCAACGCTGGGGTGTACTATTGTCACTGATATGCAACCATCTTCCTCGCAGTGGTTAATGAAATAGATTTGTTATATTACTTGCAATCGCTACAAATCATATATTTACTCCAGGCGCATAGCATAAATGTCAAAATGATGAAATGAGTTCAAATCACCTAAACACAAAACATGTGCGTTGGTGGCACAGTGTTAGAATGCTCACCAACCACGCAGGTGGTCCGGAGTTCGATCCCTGCCGACGCACTACCACACCTCGCTAAACCAGTAACAAGACCGGTAAAGAGGGAAGACTGGATATGAGTCTAGCAACCCCATCCTGTGAAAATAAACGCCTCTGTTACTGAGGCTTCAAGTCTCTACCTTGAAGCCCTATGTTTCACTGAAAACGTAAAAGGAATAAAATATAAAAAATAAAATATATAAACCATGTCCGTTTGCAACTCAATGGTTGAATGCTTCCTAGCCACACATTTAAACCTGATTAGATTCCAGACCGACGCAGTCCTAAACTTAGTGTACTTTACTATCTTAGTGTAAGCTCGGGAAGGATGGCAGATTGGTTTTGATGCTAGCAACATTGCCCTGTAAAATTATCACCAGGACTACTAAAACTTCAAAGCATGAAACCATGTTTTTCGCAAGGAAATAAATGGATGAATACAAGAGCGAAAATGTATAAATCGACTATTATAAATCCTAAAGAGGAGCTGTCAGTGCCAATAAATATTACATGATACTTCAAGATTGTCATTCAGTTGTGCAGTAAGTAGATGAAACGACAGATCCAAATATTACTCCATAGAGGATAAAATTTTTTTGACAAAGTCTCACAATGAGATACAGTAATTATTACTGATGACGTTTCAAGCACAATTTATTACTCCTCATAATCATATCAAGTTACTCACTGACATAACTTTCTTGGTCCGTTTATATAAATGAGCAAAGATTGACTAGACATTTGAATAAAATCAGTATAAGACTTGCATGAAACAGAAAGGAAGATAAATTGCATTGGGAACGAATATTAATGTTATCAATAAAATACAGTGAGATGGAAAATAAGATGCTTTTATGGTAAAACAAATAACTTTTTGGAATGTTATAATGTGAATTGAATACATTTTAACGTTATTTATTATCCTCTGATTTGACTGGTAGTAACAATGCCTTTGATTTCCCTGATATTTGCGTTGAGTTACTTCTATTGCATTTGTTTGGTGCAGACTTCGATGAACCAGGATTGAGTAACCAACCTCTCTCTCCACCAACAACTTATACTACTTTTTAGAATTTTGACTCAATCCCACCCAATTCTACGGTTGTGTGTTAATGCACGCAGTGCGATTACTGAGTTTTTATCAAATTACTTATCTCCGCGGGGTCTGTAGCTTTGTAGTCTAAAGGTCCCGGAGGACCTAATTAAAGAAAATAATATAATTTACAAAATACTTTGCAATGACTGTGAGGTCACCAACATAGCTTGCTAGTTTACTAGCCAGTACCAAGCCCGTGTAACTTAGGAAACTTAGTATTTAACACAAATTATAATTCACTGAATAAACATCATGACAAAGTCTAACTAGATAATACACATATATATATTTCAAGCAAAAGGTCACTTGTGGCTAAACTTCCAACAAGCAATTAACCTAAGATTGAGACTTCGTGTTGTGATAATGTTAAATGAACAATTATACTTATTCATCGTCATGATACTAGGCGAAACTGCTTGTAACTACAGTAAAATAACTCGATGACAATGCTGTACTCACTCTTTGTAGTAAAGACAATTCCAGAATTTCGTCTTTCGGAATAACCAATAACAAGTCTTTCGATGTTTGTTATTAAAGAAGAATGAAAATCGAGACTTTGTCATCAATAATGTTGCAAGGTAACATTGCAATGGTTAATTTACTGACAGAAACACGAAGGTCTTTCATTTAAAATACAAACTGAAAACAACACATACTGGGCGCTGATAAACGATTAATTTGTTATACTCATTTTCCTGTCAAGTGAAAAAAATAAATTTCTGAAAAACCAGTGACAGAAAAATAACTTTTGAGTAGTGTTGCATATCACAGATATCAACTTTTATCAATCAACTCCATATTTTGTTAATGTTTAATGTGATAGATCTTAAAATTCACATCTAATAAAATTATCATGGTGGACACATCTTGCTGTTTTTCATTCTTTGTGTTCCAAAAAGGGAACATCTGGCTTTAAGACATGAAGTATCAGAACTGATTGTGTTGTTTTGACAATATGGGCTTGCTGGCCTCAAGTTCGACCTTCCCTACTTTCCTGCACTTATTATGGGCTAGGCGAGGTTTATCATCGCGTCAACTGGCATTCTAACATTTAACCACTGGCACACAAAAAGATCTTATAGTCAACATAAAAAATAATGTGTAAATGTGAAACTATACTGTAATAATATTATGAATCTATAATATTAGCTTTTTCAAAATAGAATTGAGTTTTGATTTCATAATTAAACGCACAATGGACGTGATAAAATGTAAATATTTGAGACTTACCTATATTTTCTCACTTTAATTAGAGTAGTGTTCTTGTTATGAATGACATTATAACAAACATTATTTCAGGGACATCAATTTGTTCAACAGAGCCCTTGGCTTTATTTATTTTACAAAAACGAAAAAAACAGGAATCACCTATTTTGGTGGGGAGATAACCTCAGTTCAATGGAAACTGAATAAGATAATAAATGTTGTTTCAATTTTCAAACACTTGTCGGTCTCATTTCAATGTCGAAATCTCCAAATACTAATAGGTAGACAAATGCTGACTAGTAGGGAGCTGTTAAAGTCACTTGATGATAACCATTCGTTTTCACTTCCCAGACATATAAAAATATTTAGTGTGGTAATCACTAGTTTGTGGGTTAGTTGGAATTAATTTAAACACTTGATTAGGAGGTTTTGAAATATTTTCAGTCAACTAAACACATCGTTATTGTTTACTGTCGTCATTTTAATGAGGTAACATTAAAACCCACTTAGGTGACAAAATATTGAGGATAGTAAGCACTCAGTCAGCACTACTGACTTTGTATATATATATATATATATATATATATATATTTGTTTTTTAGTTGATCTTTATTTATTCATATTATCTCACCGAATTGGTATGCATCAGATTCCATTTCATCCCTTCAAGAATTCATTTAAATAAAGAAATTTATGAAAGTGTTCCGCTGCTTCATTAGTAAAACAATCTTGCTAACATCAGAGTGTCAATAAATTAACACATAAGTTTTCGAGTTCTCAGTAAATTTTTTAACAAACTAAGCTAACATAAATTAATTCGAACTGATAAAAAATGCACAGCGCTTGAAGGAATTGTGTATTCGATGTCGGGCCATCCGGAACAATTGTCATTATGTCGATCGATATTGGGGAAAACACTAACTGTTAGTGGAAACATTACGGCAATCTATTATCTACTGTTTAAATTGCTCTGCTCTTACTGTCATTTTATGAACCCAGAATGAAATATGTGGTCTTTTTATTTCAAATAATAAGGACTTGATAACTTAGAAAAAATAAAGTGATACGACTCAGTGGCAGGTTTGAATTACATTGGCAGTAAGGGGAAGAACACAGAAGGTTGCTGAGAAAACGTCTTCATTGTGTAATGATTCTCTTCCCATATTTCATATTCGTGTATCAAACAGTGGATGCAGTGGGCGAAAGTCAAACGAAACTAAGTTAAACCAATCAAAAGTGACGAAAAACATTACTTGATGGCAGAATAGATGTTGAAACTACCATCATACCACAATAAAATTTAAACATGATCTGTTAACTTAACAGTTTACTTACGATTACAATAATCACTGAAATGTATCTACATTACAGTGATAATGATACCTTGCAACGTGCTTTACGTAAAAGATACACATGCCTTTGTACACAGGAACCGATAGAGTACTGTAATTTTAAATTATTCATTAGTACTACTGTTCACTTAGGTAATATTAATGAATTATGAATATGTAGATGTACACTAGGTTTCATTTTCACCGTCGAGTCATTAAATACTGTTTGAGCAACCGAATTATCCATACCAGGAGCGTGTGATGACCGATGATACTTCACAACTGAAAGTTATTAGACATTTAGGCGCTATAAAAGATGTATTCTATAAGTAATTCTGCGCATCACGTTAAGTTTTAGACATAAAATCCTTCAACACTACTATTCTCTCTTCTTGAAGCTATTGACACAAATAAACATTTTTATAGAAACCTAGTATTGTGAAACATCCAATGCAGTGATCTTCGTATATTTTTAAAATGGAAAAACATAATTTTTTCTCCACAGGGGTACAAAAAAGAACAATTTTGCAATATTCATTATCTGATGTCTTATTTAAACAGTAGTCATTGAGAAAAAGCTTATCTTCTTTAGAAAACACTGCTTTAGATTTTACATAATGAATAATGACAATATAAGCAAAGCGTTAATTTTAAAAATAGTACTCAACTGTAATTACCTACACCAAGGTTGAAGTTATTGTAAGTTATGTAATCCACATTAGTATGATAGAAATTTAATGTATCTAAAGCGGTTTATAATGGAGTGTTATTCAACAAAGTATTTCCATGCGAAAATGGAAGAAGCATAGGAACATAGATTTATCTTCACTTGAATATATTAATAATAATTATTAGATTTTGATACCCAAGAATGGTCTCTGTTCAGTGTCTCAACCTGAATAGCAATTTTACAATCACAGTATAGGCTCGTATGAAAAATTAATATGATTGGTGCAAACGAGGTTCTGGAGAATTAATAGTATGACAGGTGGTTTTTATTGGATAAAGCATAGATCATATTCGTATGTATCTAACTATTCAGGTTGTGCTGACTGCTAAACACAGATGAGAAAATGAACAGTAAAATTTATTTAGGAGTAAGTTGAAGAATTAAATAAACTCTAGAATAATGATCCCCACTGAGACATAAAACCGTAATTCCATAGGAGAAAAATCGTTTCGACAGAATTTTACAGTGTTAGTAGTAAAACTGAAACAGTATTGATTACAATCTAAGGGATGAATTTTCCACCTAAACTGACAAGTTGAGGACAGGCATAGCCTTAATTTCTTAACAATTGTTGCTATGGAATTACTTTTGCAAATTGAAAATTGAAAACGTCTTTTCAAGGTTTGATGGAATAGACAACTGTGGTGGACCTAGATAAATGTTATGAGATAGATTAGATATTATGCAACGCCTAATATATAGCGTTTTTCAAGTATAAAGCTTCTACTGAAGGTACAATCTCATGCGTTTGACTTATACATTTGGTGATTGAAAATTGCGTTAGCATCTTAGCTGTGTATACAAAATTCATTCTGACAGCAGAAATCCACACAAGTACTTGTGTCACAACATCGGATGTAATATCATTACACTATATCTTAGTTTAGTTCTTCAGATAAGCAACTGAAGAATATTCAAAGACGTAAGTCATTTTCTCAGTAAACCTTCTTAAAAAGTCCAGCTTCAAGAATCATTTCCCTCTAGAAATGATTCTGAGTGGTTATGTAAGATTTGAATAAATTAACATTCGAAATCAATTTTACGAATTCTACTGTTAAAATGTTCATATTGCAAACTTCACTCCTGGAAATATACGTTTTCTTACACATATCAGTGTAAGGGCTTCTACAGTGGATTCATCTCTTTGATCTGGTTTTTGGTAAGTGGTGGTGAGATGTTGATAACATATTGGGATTCTGTCTTTATAACCAGATGAACACTGAAGTTCCGTTCACCTGTGCGTCGGTGGCACAGTGGTTAGGACTCTCGCCGACCATGCACATGGTCCGGGATTCGATCCCCTGCCGACGCACACCTGATATGTATGGTCGGCCTGCAAAATTTGGGCTACCGATATCCATGCTGAAAATTCCATACTTGTACCAAAAATACGGTGTGGAATCAAGCTGTAATCGAAAATAAAAAAAATTTAAAAAATATTTTCAGAAACCAGTTTATTGGTACAGAACTTATCAGATTGTTGTTTTTGCTTGGCACTACATTCATTTTAAAAATTCAAGAAAATTCAAGTGATTATCAGTTATCTGACGCAGGCAATTTTCTAATGTTATTGTCACTTAACTTAGTGAGTGGAACAATTTAAAACGAAGAGGTTCAACCTTGGTATTTCATCTGATATGCTTTTATGTAACTTCAGCTAGTCCATTTCTGGTTTGAATCTAATTAACCGGCTACCAAGTTGCCTTTACATTGACAAAGGCGCATTATTAATTTCCAACTACATATACTATTCGGTGGATTAATGTCACTTTGATCCATTTATTTTCTGTGTTTTCACTACGAAATTCAACCTCGCCTATCTTCTAATGTTATGTTTAGCAGTATGATTCAACCTCAGATAGTTCAGTTATTACAAGAATGCACGATGCATGCATGTACGAAATACTGTTATTTCATGAGTGGTAACTAGCAGTGGAATCCAGGATACGCATTTCATTGTATTTGGGACTCTTCGTCTAGGGGAGTGGTGTTGTTCCCAATGAACTCCACTGCTAATCACCAACCTCTAAATAATATCATATTAGTCCCTGAGCATCTTTGTAGCCTTCTTACTAATTGGAAGGACAACTGACTAGAGAACTCTTTATCGTTGGAAATTGTAAAATTATATCATCACAACATTTTCCCCCTCGAATGGAAGTGGTGCTGGAATAACGCTTTTCAAAATGACTTTCCTAAATGGCTCATTCTGGTCAATCTATCAGTAATTCAAGTTCTTCACTTCAAAAACGTCTAGTTCTTTCCATTATTCTGTGGATAAGTAAGCTGGAACAATTTTGAAGGCACTTGCTAAACTAATGACTAACACCGTCAAATAATCTTTAGATTTCGTTCTAATTAAACACATTTATCATGCGATTACTCATACGCTTAGAGGTTTATGAACAAGAAAAATCTCGGATGTCTACTAACAAGACGTTGATGACTCCTAAAGATATGACAGTTGGTTATCAAAAGTCAGTCAGTTACATACTCTGAGTTTTAATTCATCTGGACCCCTTATTTAATAAATTTTTTCATTTCAGGAGATTACCGTCGATATTTAGTTTCACAATGAATACATCTGCATTCATCGGATAGAAACTACAAGCAAGAGATAGAAGTTTCTTGATATATATTCCAAGTATATTGACAAATATGAGACACCACTACTCACTAGGGAATGTGGGCACACCCACTGACGATTCTCAAATAGGGTGAATCGCGCACCCTGAATTTCACAGCTAGTCACCATTCACCAAATTACATGGAGTTAAATTCTCAGACATCGTTGAAGCAGCCTCGCAATCAGATGATGTGTCAACAGAGTCTAAACATTTCGGTCCAACCAATCAAGGGGAAACTCAAAATTGAATTTTAAAAGTTATACGAACTTCGTATGAACAGTGTATAAGATTTTGACCGATTAGTTCCAAAATAACTGGGCTCCTTACAGGCAGTTTTGCAAGTGTTTTGGAACACATACGTATATGATATATATATATATATATATATATATATATATATATATATATATATATAGTACCAAGAAACCAGTTCCCATCTTTGATCACTTAAATTATTTAGAAGAGAAATAATTTGTGGGCATTCAGAGTTTGAGAAGCATTTGAGTGTATCGGCATTTTTCTTTGCTAACTTTGTTAAGAAGTACGGTCAAGTGTAATATAGAGAGGACTATTTTCAAAAAATGAAATGTGAGGTCAAACGAAATGAATTCAAGCGATATTTCCTTTTGCTGATTGCTCTATTCATTCTCATGCGTATGTATACAGAAACCTTTGTGGTAGATGCATTTATCTGAGAAAATATATTATTATTATATTACTATTATTATATCCCTTAATTCCTAGAGGAACATAGGGCTTCAGCTACGCCTTCGGTTTTCTGCCAACTTTTTCAACCCGCTCCAAGTCAGCCCACATGCTTTCATCTCCTCTTCACATGACCTCCTCCAAGTCACCCTTGGACGACCAACTCGCCGCTTCCCCTTTGGGTTCCACTCGAGGAATGGCTTGTCTAGTGATGTCACTTGATGGTTTCCTCAGCGTATGGCCAATCCATCTCCATTTCTTCCTGCCTAATTGTTTTACAGTCGGCTCGTGCTGGGTTCGTTCGCTTCAAGAGATCCCTGTTGCTGATCTTTTCTGGCTGGTCATCTGATCTTGAGTATTGAGCAAAAACAACTGTTAATGAAAGTCTGAAGTTTGTTTGAGTTGCTCTTTATGACGCACTGGCCAAGTCTCTGATCCGTATAGCAGCACTGACTTCATATTGGAGTTGAAAATTCGGATCTTATTTTCATTTTCATGCTGAGTGCTGTTGACCTCCACACAGACTTAAGAGTAATGAAAGCTTGTCTTGCTTTTCCGATTCTGGCTTTTATGTCCTCGTCAGGTCCGTCGCCTGTAGTTGAAACGATGCTTCCCAGGCAAGTAGGTGGGTAAAGGAGGTTGTTTCTTTCAGGTTCCTCCCATTTATGCTGATTGTTATCTGTTGTTGTTGTGGCTGTTGGTGTCGGCCAGGAATCTTCATCACCTCTGTTTTGTCTATGCTCAACTGAAGTCCTATCTTTGATGCTTCTTCTGCCAGCTTGTTGCTTTTCACTTGCATATCTTCCAGTTTGTGGGAAATCAGACATATATCATCGTGGGCGAAGTCCAGATTCTCCAAGTTTTTTCTGTGAGTCCATTTTATGCCTGTCTCCTCGTTACTCGTCCCGTTGTCTGTCGCATTATCCAGTCTACTGCAATCAGGAAGATCATTGGCGATAGTAGACAGCCTTGCCTCACTCCCGTCCTCACTTCGAAGGCTTCCGTAAGTTTCCCGTTGTGGATTACTTGGCATGCAGCATTGTCGTATAACTGTTGGATGAGATGTATAATTGTCGATGGGACCCCGTAGTGGCGAAGTAGTTTCCAAATCACCTCTCGATCGACGCTGCCTGTCGAAGGCCTTTTCAAAGTCGATGAAGTTGAGTGAGGTGGAGAGGTGACTGCCATTCCAAGCTTTGGTCAATGATGATCGTTAGTGTGGCGACTTGATCAATACATGACTTGTTTCTCCTGAATCCGGCTTGTTCCGGTCGGAGTTTTTCATCCAGGACTTGTTTGATTCTCTCCAGGATGATGCGGCTTAGTATTTTGCTTGGCCTGGACAGGAGCATAATTCCACGCCAATTTTTGCATTGTCTTAAGTCTCCTTTCTTTGATAGTTTGAATAAGTATCCTTTCTTCTAATCCTCGGGTACTTTGCCCTCCTTCCACACCTTCTCCAGCAATGGCGTTATCAAGTCCGCTGTTGTCTCTGGGTCGATTTTCAATGCTTCTGCTGGGATTCCGCCTGGTGCTGTTGCTTTCCCAGCTTTTAGCATCTTGATTGCATTCAGGACTTCTGTTCTCGTCGGGGGTGGGGTTGATGTTGACTGGTAGTTCTGCTTCCGTTGTTGGTATTGTTGGGCGCGTTGTAGGTGGCGGTCGATTTAGAAGTCTTGAAGTGTTCAGCCCGGTGTTTTCTTTTCTCCACTTCTTTGGTGACTGACTTTCCATTGTCATCCCTTACTGGCTTAATCTGTGTCGAACGTTTGCCCGATAGGTGCCTAGTTGTTTGATAGATTGTGGCGAGGTCTCAATTGCCTTCAGCTTGTTTTGCTTCACTCGCCGCGGCCTCATAATATTTCCTTTTGTCTTCCCTGGCACTCTTCTTCACTCTTTTGTTCAGCGTATTGTAGCTTGCATTCAACTCCTGTTTTTGTTGCTCGTCAGTGCACTGGATAATCTTTTGTTTCACTCTCCTCCTCTCTTCTATTAGTTTCCAAGTGTCCACAGTGAGCCACTGTTTGTCCTGTCTCTTCATTCTGCCTAGAACTTCCATGCAGGTTTGACTCCAGATCGTTTTCAAGTTGTCCCAGTGCTTTTCGACGCCGACCTCTTCGCTGGTGTTGATTTGTGTCTCGCCTTTGTCTCTTATGTTTGCAATGAAGATGTCCTTTGTATCTTGGTCCTTCAGTTTTTGAGTGTTGAACTTGGCTTGCGGTCTATCTGCAGCTCCAGTTTTCCTGAAAGCTTTTAATTTGATTTGGATTATCCCTTGTATCAGATAGTGGTCTGAGCCAACGTCTGCTCCTCATCTTACTTTTGTGTCTAGTAGGCTGCGCCTCCACTTCCTTGAGATTGAGATGAAGTCAATTTGGTTTTTGGTTTGCCCATCTGGTGACACCCATGTAGCCTTGTGGATATCTTTGTGTTTGTATACGCTGCCACCAATCACTAGTCCGTTGAAGGCGCAGAAGTCGGCGAAGAGTTCTCCATTTTCATTCATTTCTCCGAGAGCTTCTCTGAGAAAATAAAGTGAGTGCAATACATACAACGAAAGTATTTTGAGAATTTGTTGAATTTCATGTGTTTTTTCTCTTTGGAATGAATTTGGTGTGATGGACGGCATATGATGTACTCATTTAAGCGTGTATTTACGATTCTGCGTCGTTGGCACAGCGGTAGAATTCTCATCAAACACACAAGTGGTTCGGCGTTCGATTCCCGACGGATGTAGTACTTTAACTGGCTTATTCAGTATAAAGACAGGTGAATAGGGAAAATGGGATATGAGGCTAGCAACTCCATCTCGTAAAAACAAAAAACACTCGCTTGAAGCCGTATGTTCCACTAAGGACGTAAAAGAATAAAAGCCGTTCATGGTCATGGATAAATGAATATGAAAAATATATCTGTATACGAGTATTTAATGATATGCGTATGTGCATGCTTGCAGAAACAATTGTAAGTCATTTGTTTGCGTCTCCATAAGAAGATACAGTTAATCGGGAATTTAGATTACGTATCACAGATTAGTGATACATATCCATGTTTACTTAATAATCAGCACTCGTTATGCATCAGCTAACATCACACCTTCACACCTGTTCAAACACTCGGGATTCACTCACATATGCAAAGATTCTGCAGTCAGTCTTTCTTTATATGAAACAAAACCTTTCTGTAGAACCTAAGTCTTATCAAAGTCGATATTGTGTCCCATTTCTATCGAGTGTAGTGCGATGGCCGACCTGTTTTCTGGCTAATTCAAATCTGCAGAGCTCTTTGGAACCACGTTTAGACATTGTTTATGCTTCTTCACCCTTACATTTACCTGCCTGGAAGTTTCTATTACTTATGCGGCGTCACAGTCCTCAAAAATGATCTGGTACACGGGATTTTGTTGATTGCCTTCTTCTGTTTGATCCTTCACCAGTGAAGAGCTTAAGGTGTCAGTTGCACGAAAATACACTCTTATGTCATGATCATTAGGGATTCTCTTTATTTCACTCGACGATTGGTTGTGACCAGAAATCACCACTGTACTAACACTATTCTTCGATCCATCCTTATCTTCACATTTTGAATGTCTTTTCATGAAGGCTTTGGGTAATTATTTGATTCAGGTGTGGAGCGAACCAATTTTAGTTCTCTGTTGATCTCTTCCTCCTCGTCAGTAACTAGACGTTTGGCTCTGTTAATTAGATTCATGGCAACAGCTATTTTGGAAGTAAGGAGATGTGCTGAACTGTAGTCTGGATTTGTGTCCGAATGTGTACTTAAAGTACTTTAAAGTACTCAAACGAGGGACCAGAAACACTACACCAGTCACAGACTAATGTTCAATCAAAGTATTCTGCGTCTGATTATGACGAAGGTGTCATCTACATATTTAACTACACTCTTTGTGGATTAGAGCATCTCAAAATCGCATTTGTTTCTAATGTGTGCATAAACAGATTGGCAACTAGTGGAGACACTGATGATCTGTTCGACGAGAAAGAACGCCTCTAAAAGACAAGATGTATCCCTGATT